TCTTAACACTTTTACAGATAGTTGAGTACATAAGCATTCTATGTGCAAGAATAGTTAACTGTCCATTAGTTAAGCCATCAAGATTACATTCATAAATTTTGGAACCGTTGTAAGATGTATTAGTCTGATTCCAATCGCGTTCCTCTATTAACACATCTCGAGGAGTAGGACGGGAATAATAGTAAGTTTGCATCCGGGGTTTGTCGGCATACTTACTATTGGTTTTAATTAAACCCTTGAGCTTATTAAGCTCTGACCACATTTCAGTTTTGTAATCGGAAACAGTCTCAATTTTATCAGCAAATTTTTTTGATAAATCAATTGGTCTAATATTTAAACCAGAAAGTTTCTTATCAAGAAGGTCTGCTAAGTCATCAAGAGATTTGAATTTAAAATCTTGAACCTCAGGAGGCCTTTGAACATGAGTAAGAACTGTTTGATCAACCGGTTTGATTCCCGAAGTGGAGGCAATATCGGTTGGTACTTTGTTAGTACTCATCTTCTTTATTAAAGCAGTCAAATCTCTGCTTGGCGTATTTGTCTTATGAAGACGTTTATTAACTTCAGACAAAGAATATGGCGCAAAATATTCAAATTCGTTTTTTGGTCATTCAAAAAGCTTTGAACCACTAGAACTAGAACTTTAAGTCTAATTTATAATTTCCTTACGAATTTTTTCATCAGTAATTTCCTTTAAAACTTCTATTACATTGTCAGATGTAATAGTTTTTATATTCAAATCTTGAAATTGTGATTGCAATATATAAAACTCATCATCATCGCAAGCGCAAATATCACCTTTACAAGCGGCGCAAGTATTATCCAAATCTTTACTACTTTCAGATAAATCTATCAGATCAGTCTCAGCTTCAGACTCAATCTCAGAATAAGTATAATCTGAATCTGATCCGGAAGTGTATAACAAGCAATAAACTTTGTCACTTAACCCATCGCCTAGTTCTAAGGCCTTTAGCTTTTGAAGCTTGCAATTTGGAGCGATATACCCAAATTATTCACACTTATAATACTTAATATCAGCGAGATCTTTGTTTGATCTATTCTTCGTAAATCGAGTAAATTTCCGATGCGCTTTTCTAGTATCACGCTCTTCCTTAGACCTATATCCAGATCTCTTTTTCTTATACGGGCTATCAGGGTTAGTATACCTATGATATCTGTTTTTCTTCTTCTTCTTCTTACTTTGAGTAGAGGTTCCGGGTAAACTGAACTGGGTACAAAAGTCACCTAATTGGGATTTCTCTTTAAACTTATCAATCTTAAGCTATCTAGAAAGCTTCAGCTCATTACACAAGTTTAATCCTTCTTGTGTACACACTCCTATAAGTTTACCATAGGTATAATTTCCATACAGAATTTCACCGTAACTACCTCTTAATGCTTTTCTTACTCTTTCAGCGAATAAGGAGGGAAGGCCGTCTATAAACATAGCTTTCCAATGTTCATACTTGTTTTTGGGTAGCTCCATAACCCTACTCATAAAAGTATCTTTGTACCATCTAAATTCACTAAGGGTCCTACATCTAAGCCCATTTAGTAAAGTACAGACGGTCTCATGCCCATTGGTAAATCTACCGTTAAAATATTCTAGAATTGTAAGGATAAGGGTATAAACAACATCTTCTCTTCCTTTAACTAGAGCCATGCCTATATTATCAACCCCTTCGTCAACGGCGGTCGAAATAATAACCGTTGCCTTTTCTTCAACAGATAGATAGTTATCCCACCAGCCACGAAGCTGGCCAGTAAAGCCTACAATAATCATATTGCAAATAGTTCTATTTGTGTTCTTAACACTTTTACATATAGTTGAGTACATAAGCATTCTATGTACAAGAATAGTTAACTGTCTATCAGTTAAGCCATCAAGATTCCATTCATAAATTTCGGAACTGCTGTAAGACGTATTAGTCTGATTTCAATCGCGTACCTCTATTAACACATCTTGAGGAGTAGGACGGGAATAATAGTAAGTTTGCATCCGGGGTTTGTCGACATACTTACTATTGGTTTTAATTAAACCCTTGAGCTTATTAAGCTCTGACCACGTTTCAGTTTTGTAATCGGAAACAGTCTCAATTTTATCAGCAATTTTTTTTGATAAATCAATTGGTCTAATATTTAAACCAGAAAGTTTCTTATCAAGAAGGTCTGCTAAGTCATCAAGAGATTTGAATTTAAAATCTTGAACCTCAGGAGGCCTTTGAACATGAGTAAGAACTGTTTGATCAACCGGTTTGATTCCCGAAGTGGAGGCAATATCGGTTGGTCCTTTGTTAGTACTCATCTTCTTTATTAAAGCAGTCAAATCATCCAATTTTTTATCAAGAGNTTTTGTTAGTACTCATCTTCTTAATTAAAGAAGTCAAATCTCTGCTTGGCGTATTTATCTTATGAAGACGTTTATTAACTTCAGACAAAGAATATGGTGCAAAATATTCAAATTCGTTTTTTGGTCATTCAAAAAGCTTTAAACCACTAGAACTAGAACTTTCAGTCAAATTTATAATTTCTTTACGAATTTTTTCATCAATAATTTCCTTTAAAAGTTCTATTACATTGTTAGATGTAATAGTTTTTATATTCAAATCTTGAAATTGTGATTGCAATATATAAAACTCATCATCATCGCAAGTGCAAATATCACCTTTACAAGCGGCGCAAGTATTATCCAAATCTTTACTACTTTCAGATAAATGTATCAGATCAACCTCAGCTTCAGACTCAGTCTCAGAATAAGTATAATCAGAATCTGATCCGGAAGTGTATAATAAGTAATAAACTTTGTCATGTAACCCATCGCCTAGTTCTAAGGCCTTTAGCTTTTGAAGCTTGCAATTTGGAGTGATATGCCCAAATCTTCCACACTTATAACACTTAATATCAGCGAGATCTCTGTTTGATCTATTCTTCGTAAATCGAGTAGATTTTCGATGCGCTTTTCTAGTATCACGCTCTTCCTTAGACCTATATCTAGACCTTTTTTTCTTATACGGGCTATCAGGGTTAGGATACCTATGATATCTGTTTTTCTTCTTCTTCTTACTTTGAGTAGAGGTTCTGGGTAAACCGAACTGGGTACAGAAGTCACCTAATTGGGATTTCTCTTTAAACTTAACAATCTTAAGATGTCTAGAAAGCTTCAGCTCATTACACAAGTTTAATCCTTCTTGTGTACACACTCCTATAAGTTTACCATAAGTATAATTTCCATACGGAATTTCACCGTAACTACCTCTTAACACTTTTCTTACTCTTTCAGTGAATAAGGAGGGAAGGCCGTCTATAAACACAGCTTTCACATGTTCATACTTGTTTTCGGGTAGCTACATAACCCTACTCATAAAAGTATCTTTGTACCATCTAAATTCACTAAGGGTCCTACATCTAAGCCCATTTAGTAAAGTACAGACGGTCTAATGCCCATTGGTAAATCTACCGTTAAAATATTCTAGAATTATAAGGATAAGGGTATAAACAACATCTTCTCTTCCTTTAACTAGAGCCATGCCTATATTATCAACCCCTTCGTCAACGGCGGTCGAATTAATAACCGTTGCCTTTTCTTCAACAGATAGATAGTTATCCCACCAGCCACGAAGCTGGCCGGTAAAGCCTACAATAATCATTTTGCAAATAGTTCTATCTGTGTTCTTAACACTTTTACAGATAGTTGAGTACATAAGCATTCTATGTACAAGAATAGTTAACTTTCTATCAGTTAAGCCATCAAGATTCCATTCATAAATTTCGGAACCGGTGTAAGACGTATTAGTCTGATTCCAATCGCGTTCCTCTATTAACACATCTTGAGGAGTAGGACAGGAATAATAGTAAGTTTGCATCCGGGGTTTGTCGGCATACTTACTATTGGTTTTAATTAAACCCTTGAGCTTATTAAGCTCTGACCACGTTTCAGTTTTGTAATCGGAAACGGTCTCAATTTTATCAGCAAAACTTTTTGATAAATCAATTGGTCTAATATTTAAACCAGAAAGTTTCTTATCAAGAAGGTCTGCTAAGTCATCAAAAGATTTGAATTTAAAATCTTGAACCTCAGGGGGCCTTTGAACATGAGTAAGAACCGTTTGATCATCCGGTTTGATTCCCTAAGTGGAGGCAATATCGGTTGGTCATTTGTTAGTACTCATCTTCTTTATTAAAGCAGTCAAATCATCCAACTTTTTATCAAGAGAACTGATATGTTCTCCTAAAATATTTACATATAAACCCAAATAATTGGTTTGAGAAATCAATTTATTAATTTCTGCGATACTAACAGCTGCAACATTAAACATATATATATCAGGCACTATATATATCTCTAATACATATAAACTATATATATATATACATACATATATATAAGGAAATATATAATTATATATACACATACACACACACACATATATATATATAGGCTATTTTTTAAATTTTTTTTATCTAAGGCACTTTCTTGTAAACTATATATGTATATAATAGTATAAATTGCTTATATATAGCTATATAAATATATATAGTATATATAGTATGTATAGTATGTATATATAAGGGTGTATTATGTGTATATATAATTATATATTGCCTTATGTAATATATATTGCCTTATATATATGTATGTATGTATGTATGTATGTATATATATATATATATATATATATAGGCTATTTTTTAATTTTGTTTATCTAAGGCACTTTCTTGTAAACAATATATGTATATACTAGTATAAATTGCTTATATATAGCTATATAAATATATATAGTATATATAGTATGTATAGTATGTATATATAAGGGTGTATTATGTGTATATATAATTATATATTGCCTTATGTAATATATATTGCCTTATATATATGTATGTATGTATGTATGTATGTATATATATATATATATATATATATAGGCTATTTTTTAATTTTGTTTATCTAAGGCACTTTCTTGTAAACAATATATGTATATACTAGTATAAATTGCTTATATATAGCTATATAAATATATATAGCATATATAGTATGTATTAGATATATATAGTTTATATGTATTAGATATATA